TCCCTCTTGCTTGTTTTAATTCCCGTTCCGGATAACTTCGGGAATGGTTCTCCTGGAGTTCTTTCTAGGGTTGAGAGGTTTTATATTGTCTACCATTGGGATACAGCTCTTACAACTTTGCTATCTTGCTACAAGTTTTGTTGCTTGACCAGGCAGCCCTTTCCTCATCATGTTTCTTTGTTTTGGAACATCAAGTTGATACTCTGTCTTTATCCTTGGTCATGGAAGTTCCTCTATCTTGTAGAGGGCTTTGCCCCATCTAGCCTTTGTTCGGGAATTGGTGTCTTCGGATACCTCTGACATGCAATAGTCCTTTAAACTTTATTGGTCCTATCAGTGGCTGTTGTCCAACCTCAGTTGGACTGCTTTTGGATGTCCTGACTGTCCCTCAATGGAGGATAAAGAAATTAAGACTTTTGTACTTACTGTAAATTATTTTTCATGTAGTCTATTGAGAGACATAGGTACTACTCCTCTGAGTTTTTCTCTGGCCCTGCGTGTTGCTTTCTTAGAAAACTGAAGCATGGTGGGTATAGGAGGGGTTATACGGGGGGCTTGTTTTTCTGTTTGCCAGTGTCCCAACCTCCTGTAGGTGGCAGTAAACTCGACTGTAATAGAATTCCTGTGTCCCTCAATAAACTACAAGAAAAATATTTTATGGTAAGCACTGAAGTTCTCCATTCACTGTAGAGGGTAAATTTGACGGGAGCAGCAACACCATATGTGGGATCTTCCTGGGATGGCCAGCAAGGGTTGGGCTGGCATGCAATAAATAAAGCAGGGTGTGATTACAGATCCTTTCTATTCTTATGGAACTGAGAGAGTAATGGGAAGCTTTGTCCCATCAAGACTTGAAAATCATTTTATAGGCTTACTTTATTTAGTTCCTGTTGTTCCCAAAGTTCCTGCTGTTCCCAAGGTGTATTGTGCTTTTTCTGAGTTAGGCTTACAGACATAAGAACATATTGTTCATATGTGTTATCTGACTATTGTTCATAAGGGTTGTAATTTGCTTACATTGGTTTGATCCCTGCTCTTTTTGTTTGTGTCTTGTATCGAAGGACATAAGAACAAACATTTTAATACTTTCTTTCCATTCCCCATTCTTTTTTTTTCTTACCAAATTATGATGTACATATCTCCTAATTGTCATTTTAACTTTGTTTCTAGATTGTATCAGTGGGAAAGGTTAAACAAAGTTTACATTATTGCCACTTAGTGCCGAAAATATTTCTTGTATGTTTCATTAGGGTAGTTTTAATCAACCACTTCATCTTGTGTACAATTTTGTAAAATAACAGGGGGTGTGTTCAACTATGAGATAATCGCAGTGTGTTTAACTTGAGTCCTTGGTTGCTTAAGCAGATCCATTCAGGGTAAAATGCACGTCTGTTGCAAGTTATTTTCAGCCTGGTCTGGCAGGAATGCTGAAGTCATACAGAGGTTGCTCGACTCCAAACCACTGTTGTAAAGCATTGAAAATGTTTATTAGAGATTACATAATAAACCCTCCTTTTCCTTGCTGGAAGTCAACACAGGCGGGTCATGTTGTTATTTCTGTAACAGATTTTAAGCACAGGCAGCCAAGTCTGTATTCCTACATTCTTAAATTGAATGTCAAATATAAATACAGATGGACAAGATTCTGTTTGGAATTAAACCCTAAAATGCTGTGTGTGATCATTCACCATCTGTTTATTGAACACTGTGCCAAGAAATAGATTGGATACATGAAGCACTTAATATTTTGTAGTGTTATGGGTCTCAGCAGAATGTGCTGCAAAGCACTAAAATGCTTATGATAAGACCTGCAAGAATGCTTGCTGATTAGGAAAGTGCCATATGGTCTATAGTAAGGTGCGAATTTGTGTCTATATAGTATTTAGCTTGGTAAGTACATTACTTTTCAGTTGTGATATCCTGTTGATAGAACATTACTTATTTATGTTTTCTCATGTATTTATAGGTAGAGAGTGCATCACAGGGAGAAAGAGTTTAGTTAATCCATAGCTATATAACATTATTATTTCTTTAATTTCATAATCCAGGTACATAATAAAATTAGGAAACGTACAGTAAGGTAGTATAGTACCTTCAATATGTACAAGTTTCCTTGTGTGTTCTCACTATTGCAATTCACAGTGTACTTCACACTGAGCTATATTTTAATTTTAACATCTGTTTGACAATATTAAAGTGGATAAAACCTATTCTTAAAGCCCAATTGAACCTTCAGTTTAAATCAGCTAAATGCATTCCAAGTGCATCAAAACAAAAGGTATTTAACGTTTTACAGTTTTTCTTCCTAAAGCAGCCAAAACCTGATTAGAAAAGTCTGTCTCCTGCCAGCAACTGCACAGTTTAACCCTTGCTCTTTGTGTGGAAGCAGTGGTCTTATGTCAGAGGTCTGACACACTGCTTACTGATTTAGACCTATAGCTTTACAATCAGCAAAGCTCATGCTCTCCACTCATTAGAGCTTTGGCTGTGACTCAGCAGGGGGTGTGTCAGACCTCTGCAAAAAGATCACTGCTTCCCCACACATAGCAAGTGTCCTACATTGCAGCATGTGGACAGGGGACGGGCTTTTCTACTAAGGCTGTGGCTGATTTTTCAACAAAATAAACTGTAAGACTTTGTACATATTTTGCTTGTATGCACCTGGAATGTGTGTAGCTAATTTAAATTGAAAGCTCAGTTGGGCTTCAACCTAAAGGTTAAAAGGCAAAAAGGGCTACATTAAAAGTAGCCCCAACTCGTTTCTTAGCACACACTGACCAATGCTGGCTTCTAAGTGAATACTGCGCAGTAACTACCAATGTGTAGCAAGAAGCTATGTTTGGTGGGTCGAGAATATGGCATTTTCAACTAGAATATGTGTTTGCTAAGGAGGCATGTACCATGCTGTAACGGCTATTGGGAAGAACAAAACCCCAATATAGACCCAACAGTTGGGAGCTGCCTCTGTAAAAGTAAAACATTCACAAGTATAAGCAAATTTCCCTCCAAAGCTCATAGAAGTCAATTGGTTAGCATGTCATCAAGATTGATTCAACAGATAGACAGTGCAGTGAAACTGAAAGATATTCAGCATCTTGCAGTAAGGAGGGTCCATGGAGGCAATGTGGAATTCCCTGGTTCTGAAAGGATAGCTTAAAGGGAAAACCCCACCAGCACTTGATTTTGTGGTTTTTCTAGAATTTGCATGAATGGCTTCAGCTCTTTATGTCTCTGTAGGGATTGCAGTGCCAGGTCAACACAAGTTTCATATTTATGAGAGTGGAAGGTTAAGTCCTGTTTGGACCATGCCACTTGTATGATGGCCTCTTTGGCCTTGTAGTAAGTGAGTTTAGCGATTATATCATCGCTAAACCCTTTTGAAGCCCAAAGATCTGTGGTCAGATTCTAATTTTCACCTGGAGCTCCAAAAGAAGTTGCTGCAGAAGGGGTGTAACAGTGCAGTTCCCATCGCCCATAAATTCAGGCAGGCCCCAGATTTCCTCTCCTATACCTATTGTCTGAGTTGATTAAAGTGTTTGAGAGGTCTATTTTCATGAGGTCAATATCTTGTTTATGGGACTCTATGACAGAGATTGCAGATGTGATAGAGATTTTGTGTTCCAGGTCATTAATGTACGTGCCCAGGTCCCTAATTTAATGGGTTAATGCTGTAGTGCTAAGTAGCAACAGTAACCTTGTGAAATAAGCTTACATTTCTTTAAGAGGGTAAAGTCCTGGCAAGTCACCTCCACCCAGCGGAAGACTGGGCATGCAATGTGCTGTCATTGGAATCATTTATTTGATCACTTCCTTGGAAGATTGTTGTAGTTCAGAGGAAGTTGCATAGCCGCCATCTTACTACTTTGGTGTGTAGCCAGGGTAATGGTCAGTTTACCAGATTTTTGACTGCTTGCTGAATACGTTTTCACCATATGAAATTCCGTTGTACAGTTACAGGATAGAATAAAGGAAAAGGGCCAAATATACTCTCTTGGGTTACTTTACTAAAGGCAAATAGGCTGCTTACTTTGCAAGAGAATTTTCCCTTCGCTAAGGTGAAGCTCTGCTGACCTACATCTGTAATCCTGCTTCACTCCACTGTCTATATTGCTGTCGGCACACCTGGACAGAGAGTAGTCAAGTTAGCATGCAGCTGGAAATCCAAGTGAATGATTCCTTCTTCACTTGGATTCCCCCTTAGATTGTAAGCCCCCACGGGCTTACAATCAGGGCTTGCAAGCTCCTTACCATTGTGACTTGAATTGTATTTCAATTACAATGTCTTCCCTATGTTGTAAAGCGCTGCACAAACTGTTGACGCTATATAAATTCTATATAATAATTATTATTATTTTAAGGTCCTTCACCACTGTGGAGCGGGTTTTCCCCTAAACTGACCCTGTGAGCTCAGGGTCACTCTGTATGTTAAAGCATACCTGTAATGCTGTATACCATCACATTTGTTGATATGCTGCCTCTTCACTTCTCCCTGTCTGCTGATAGCATTTGACTGACCAGACAGATGCAAATACCTGTTTTCACCTGCTGCACGCAGTGGCTCCTCCCAGCACCTTCAAACTTCTTTTAGTGATTCATGAACCAGTGCAAGAAACCGCAGCGTGGAAAGGGGGAGCTGCTATTCCACACCCCAAAGTGTTGAATACCTGCAGCGCCCAAGAAGTGAAGAGACAGCATATCAAGACACAGTCCCACTGTGAAGGTAAGTATATTCCCTCTTCTATTACAGGTATGCTTTAACACACAATTCCGATCCTGTGCTGACAGGGCCATGTTAAACCACCCAGTTCTTATGGTAGTTCAGAGATATATGAAATACATTTTGTGTGAATCCTATCAGACAGAATTGCAATAGTGGTTTATCTAGATCAGCGGCTTGTATGTGAAGTCCTCCACAATTTTCAGTTACAATATAAAAACAACACAGTTGTCATTAATTTTTGTTTTTGTTTTGTTAAATCATTGTGTGATTTTGTTTGCAGGGACACAACTGTGCAGAGTCTCACATTGCAGCCTTCTGTGAAAGACGGTGTAATAGTATATGAAGACTCACCTCTGGTATGTATTGTATGAGAGTTTCCAACACTGAGTGGTTACTTTCTTTGATACTCAACTTAAGCTGGGTACACATGAAGCAAATTTTGGCCAGTTCAGCAGGAATTGGCAGAAATTCGATCCGTGGGTGGCACTATCCCCTCGACAGAAGTTGATCATTAGGTCTTCTTTTGCCAAAGAGACTTGCTGGAAAATCTTTGGCCAGACAGTACTTGCAGCCAATCATAATTTTTAGAATTGTGTGTTTGTAATAGAATCTAGGGTATCATGTGATGGTAGCATTATTGTTATAATTTCATTTATAATTTTATAAATTCAGTGAGTTTATTTGTTTCTTAGTGAAAGTAGTTGTCTTCCCACCAATGGGTCAGGGTTAGATTTATTCTGAAAGTCAATTGGGTGAATAGTTAAAGTAGCATGCCTTCCCGCTCTTTCTTGACTATAGCACCATGTTTGATCAGGACACCTCATATGTATGCCTTGTTGGCTTCTCAAACTATGATGGGGTTTGGGCCATAGATCTTAGCCAGAGTTACTTTAGAAGGACCAATCATAACCTTTAGGGAAAAGGTATTTGTTGTCACAGAATAGGAGTCCAGGAGTGTCCAAGGGACTGTTTGCGAGAACAATATAGATACTCTAATGAATTTTGATTCTCTACAGCAACTGTGGTGGCAGATGGGGAAATGGCGCCCTCGGAGGGAATGGGCTTTCTGTTCTCTAAAGTGATTTCTTTTGCAGTATGTGTCTTTTCAAGTTTTGATGGACTTTTTCTTTGGGAGTGTTCAGGTCTTTGGCATTAAGGGAGGTTATGTTAAAAAGCCCATCCTGTTGTCCTAGGGAGGAAGGAGGGAATAGGCAGAAGGGGGCCTGCAGGCATTACAGAGGGGGTTAATGGAAAGACAATACCCAACTAGTGGTAGCTGTGTACTGTGCCTCATGTCTACCCCAGGTCACCTGTTCTGAGGAAAATTTCAAGCCAGCAGGAGCAGGCTACACAGCCAGCGGACCTGGGAAGTGCAAGGGAGCTATGATGCAGCTCTTTTGTTTGCGTAGTGGGTGCCTCCATCGTCTCCGCGGACTGCAAAGCTGCTCAATCTGCCTAACCCTCTGTACTGGGGAAACAGTCCCTTAAGAAAGTGCATCACACTAGAGTCTCCCAGAGTGCCAGAGGGGATCTCTTGTTTAGTCTACCCCAGCGGTGTCACCCTGAGAGTAAATAAAAGTAAAAAGAAAATACTGGTAGCACAAGTAAGCCAAAGAAGTATAGTGTTAACCCCTATTGAGGGGTCTAATACAGATATGAACATGCATATGATTTGCCTTAATCAGCTACAGAGTGGTGTGGGACCATCAGTAGGGAACATCGCCTTAAAAGGGGTGGTTGATGTACTCCACGGGGGGCGAGGGTTGCCCCGAAACATGTGACAGGGTTAGTGCATTAGTTAGGATTACAGGTGTATACAGGTGGTGAAAACTACCACGAGTCCTTTGCTGAGTCTGAGGGAAGTATCTCTTGGTGTTTAAACCCCCAGTGTCCTTGAATTGCATCAGTAGGATCGGTTGAACTGGAAGTCAGCTTGGTCAGTATAGGTAAAAGTGCTAGTTGCCTGGATTCAACACTTTAAGACACTGACGTGCATTGCTAGTAAATCAGTGCTTTGGCTTGCCTTCTTCCATGCCTCTCAAATGTTCAGTGAGAATGCCTAACATGTAGCATTCAGCTGTGAAGCCCTGGAGGCCCTTGGTGTTTACATTAGCAGTTTGTAAACTATGCTTTAATGAAACGTGTATGAGTTTGTTTGAGTATGCTGTTTAACAATTTAGTCTTTACTACATTAGGTTTTTTTTGTCGTGATGAGTCCTAAGTCCTACGGCACAAATGGCGTGCCTCTTTAAAGTTGCTGTGCTGGTCCAGGACTTAGTGCTTTCCCAAGAAGGAACGATCCCTAGATTGTTTAATCATATACTTAAGTTGAATTGCCCTGGGTTATGACAATTTTTACTTTGAAACCACGGTATTTCCATCATGTATTTTCTACATATCTGCATGTGTAGAGCAGTGTTTCCTGTCAAGTTATGTACTAATATGTCCATTAAATAGTTCAGAGGGGTACTTTAGTTGATTGTAGCAATATTTGATTGGAATTAAATATCTATTGTAATGCTTGTTTCCTTACAATGCTATGTTTATTTATAGGTTAAGGCTGTTAAAAAAGGCCATATCTTGGTTATAGATGAGGCTGACAAGGCTCCTACGAATGTCACCTGTATTCTGAAAACCTTAGTAGAAAGTGGAGAGATGATACTGTCGGATGGGAGGCGACTTGTTGCCAGTAAGTAGTTTATTAATGCTATTGTCATATCTATATCTTAAATGCATAAGATAGGCAAGCTTACTGGAGTTTTCTGGGCTCTCATTCCTCTGTTGCATTCGCCAGCCAGTTTAAGAATTTATTTGAATGAGGTCCTAGGTGTTCTCTATTTTCTATTCACCTTACATAATTATTTAATGTTTCGACAGTTCTCAGAACACTAGAGTGCCCACAGCAAGAAGTTTTTTTTTAGCAGTTCTGCCAAGATAAAGACAAAAAGCTGTAGACTGACTGGCTAAATTTACTGTATGAATTTAACATTTTAAAGCCCAACTCCTGGGAAAAACTATTCTTCTAAGCAGGGACACAGATGACAAGAAGAAAAACCTAGTGTAGGTTTTAACCTTTCCCAATTCTGTCTAAAATGATAACGGTATGTCTGGAAATGGACTTTAATTTTCAGTTTTTACTGGAGTGCAGATTTTAGGGCTGCAGCTAAGGATTATTTTCATAATCGATTAGTTAGCCAATTACTAAGTTTGATCGATTAATCAGATTAAAAAAAAAAAAAGCTCCAGTGATGGACTACTAGTTTCTATTGAGATTGTAGTCCATCACGGGAGCAAGCTTGGTGCGGTGGAAGTAAAAAAAAAAAGTGTGGTGTGCAATATAGTACATTATACAGCGGCGCAGTGCAGAATACCAGCAGCTATAGAGGAATGTAGCAATAGTACATAATACTATAATGTACTATTGCTGGGATTTGTAGTCCTCTGTAGCTGGGGTTATTCTGCATTGCGCTTTATATATTGTATTATTGCTGGGATTTGTAGTCCTCTATAGCTGGTGGCATTCTGCAGTGCGCTGTATAATGATTATACGGCGAAATGCAGAATACCAGCAGCTATATAGGAATGCAACAAATGCCAGCAATTAGTACAACATTATACTATAATGTACTATTGCTGGGATTTGTAGTCCTCCATAGCTGGTGGTATTCTCCATTGCGCTGTATAATGATTATACTGCACAATGCAGATTACCACTGACCAGTAGGAGTCAGGAAGCTCACCGGGAGGAGAGGGCCAGACACATGTCCTCAGCGTGGGCGTGGCGTAAGCAGCGTCGCGTGAGCGGTATGCCAGCGTAGGCGCGAGCGGCTTAAACGATGTGGGCGTGGCGTAAGCGGCGGGCGTAAGCAGCGGGCGTGAACGGCGAGCAGGAAATTTGAATTTTAGCCGACGAATCGACGATGGAAAACGTTGACAATGTTTTCCATCGTCGATTTTAATCGACTTAATCGAATAATTGTTGCAGCTCTACTTCTAACATGAGTATACTTTTACTCTCAGGCTATCCATTTAAAATTCAATCAGGGTAAAAAATTATACTTTTGAGTAAAAGTCTTCAATGTGGAATTTCTAAAATTGCAGTTTTGCATCCCTTACAGACTCTGGTGGTATAATAGCCTGGACACAATTTCTGGCTTTCCCCATCTCTTTGGCAATTATAAAGTCAATCAACATTGTTTCTCTTCCTTTGCACATTCTTTCACTCTAATTAGGCAGCTACATTTGTAGTCCTGACTTACCAGCGGCGAGTGAGGGAGCCTGCCGTGCCAGCGGCGAGTGAGGGAGCCCACGGAGGAGAGCAGCAGCGTGCACGGCTTCAGCGTGAGGTGGGCGTGGCTTATGCGTCCTGTGGGCACGGCGGGAGCAGCGGGCGGGGGGCGTGGCTTATGCGTCCTGTGGGCACGGCGGGCGCAGCGGGACGGGAACAGCGTGTGACATGTGCTTCAGGCCGCGTGTGGAGCCCCGAACAGGCAAATCAATCGATAGCCGACGAATCGACGTTGGCAACGTTTTCAATCGTCGATTTTAATCGACTAAATCGCAGCTCTAGTAGATTGTACCTACATATTTTATCCTTTTTTAACTCATAACATCAACATACAAACCCCTATTATATGCACCTCTTTTTTCTATGTAGTTCATGAGCTTGTGTACTGGAATGTGTATTTTTATCAGTCTAAGCAGTAAATGATTTAGGGCTGCAACTAACGATTACATTCATAATCAATTTTTAAAAAAATACCATCTTTTATTTGAAATAAAATACAAACATAAATTTACTACAGATTAATACTTTACAATAATATTATACAACTGTTGTACAATTTTTAAACAGAAAAACAAAAAACACAAACGTTCTGTTGATTGCACTGTACTCCACAATCGCACTCTCCCTGTGTTCTGGTGCGGGAGGTGCATTGTGGTGCATGCACAATTTTTTCAGTCGCACCACACTGGAACACACGGCATTCTGGTACTGCATGTTCTGGTGTGGGAGATCGCACTCAGGGGCTTTGGGTAAATATCAGGGGTCTAAACAGACCCCTGATATTTACCCTTTGAGATATTTACCTTCTCTGCAGCCCCAGCACTCAATGACTTGTAACTGCAGAGGCTTCATAAATCAAGAAGATAGTAAACAGATACAATGTCCACAGTCATGAATGAACAGGCCATGTAGAGCACTTCCCGTTCTTTTATAATTGGGGACACAGTATCTGAATACTATGTCCTCAATTATTTACAAATATTTACTGATCACTGCGGTGTCAACGATTGTGGATTGCTGTGTGGCTCACATCTTCGGTGCAGGCTGCTCCATGCCGGCTTTGTCCGCTCTCACCCTCCGCACCGCTAAAACCCAGAAGAAGCTCAGGAAACTGCACTAACTCCGTACAACTTCCATTTTCCTCCTCCCGCATTACCAATTATTATTATTACATAGTATTTATATAGCGCCAACAGTTTGCGCAGCGCTTTACAATATAAGGAAGACATTACAATTCAAGACAAGATGGTAAGGAGGGCCCTGCCCCTGAGGGCTTACAATCTGAAAGAGGGGGAAATGATACATGAGGAGGGAGCTGTGTGGGGATGAATTATTTGAGAATGTGAAGGTCCAGTGGTTAGGTCGAGGTGGGATAGGCTTCCTTGAAGAGATGAGTCTTTAGGGAACGCCTAAAGGCAGTCAAGGTCGGAGATAGACGGACAGGTTGGGTGCCACAGGTTGGCTTACAGCATGAATTGGTAGGCACGACCACTAGCTTTTTCCTAATTGGTCCAGTCTTGTGTCACGTCTAGTGCAGATCAATTTATCGATAATGAGACTTGTTGACAACAATTCTCGTTTTTGATTAATTTGATTAGTTGATTGAGCCCTAAAATTATTAATATTGTTATTATTAACATTAATATTTCCCCTATACATTTGTGACATATAAGAATGACTGTTAAGAAACTAGATCATTACTAAATGTAAGTGAACATCTTTTTGCACAGCTGACCAAAGTTTTACTGCCAGTACTTCTTTTCTTTCTGCCTTGGACATGCTTTCACAGTTACCATGATGTGTTTTTCATATGAACATTCTTCAGTCTTTACATAGACTTCAGCTTTCAAACTGTAATCCTTGTAGAGTATTCTGGAATTAGTGTGAAATCCTAGGATTTCTCAGAAATAGTAAGAGTTCTTTTAATTAAGTGTGTGAGATCGTCTGTGGTGGCAGTGAAGTCAGATCACGTAGCAGTGGAAAACTGAGGGATTTGGTGACTCACTGTGATGAACTATATTAACACGTGCTAAGTAAGATTCTGAAGGGTCAGATCATGAGCCATTTTTATTTTGGAATATCAGCTCTGCGCTATATTCTATGGCCATTCACATCACAGTTGTTTAATCAAGTGATATTTCTTGTATGAGACTGAAAGTAAGTATTCCTTAAAAAAAGAAATGAAATGTTAGAAAATAGGTATTGTAAGCAAAATATCTGTTTCCAGCATGGATTTTATTTCTATTGTGCCGATGCCTTTTGGGTTTTTTTTTTATTTTTATTTTTTACTGGCACCCGTTTACTGAATGCAGTGCAAAGTGTTTTGGTTCCCTTTAAGTCCTGGTTTACAATTAGTGTTTTGTAGCACTTTTTCTGCCCAAAAAAACGCTCAAAAAGTATGCCCCCCAAAAAAAATCCTATTCATTTCTATAGCCCTGTTCACATCTGAGCGTTTTGTCGCAATAAGCAAAACGCCTGTCCCTGAAAAAGGTATAGGAGCTTTTTTTGTCATATTACAGCTCGTTTTGGTCCCATATATTCATTAGGAAACACTTGAAAACAAGTGTTTGTATGTTTTTGCGCAAGTTTAACGCGTGTCTGCCTGTTAACATCAATGAGCTAGAATCTGCATCAAAAGCACGTGTAGAAATGGGCAAACTGCAGTCACCTAGGTGTGAACCCAGCCTAAAGAGGCATGTTTATACAAGAACATCAGTGGCATCAAATATGCATGCTTTAAAGTAAAAAGCAGGGGTTATTATTTAGTGCTTATTTTAAAAGAACGTCTGCAGAATCTAGTTGGGAGAGTGGCTCCGTGCTTTTTTTTTTGGACATAAAATTGCCGGTAGGTTTTATGATTAGATCTTGGCAGTCCTCTGAACAAATATGCACCTATTTCTCAGTTCCCACTCCCCCCTATTTCCTGTGGAATGACATGGCCATCCCACGGTTTTTTTTGTGGTTTTTTTGTTACACATGTGTTACATGTGCATTTACTAACTGAATCACATTGAGTTCTCTAAACTTTCTATTTTATTTATTTAATAAAATACTTATTTTCACCTTTTTTTTCATAATTTACTGCATCTCAGTGTTGCTGATTTCAGGGAGCCCCTTTGCAGCCACTTCCTGTCTACATGCACACGTTACAGTAATGGCTGCAGTTCAGGGCAGGCTTCCTGAAAGGTGCCAATGGTGGAACATGTGTTTGCAGTGAGTTTCTTATAAAAGTGCACACGACAGAGTAACAATGCAGGGAAGCAATTGGGAGACAGTGACAAATCATTGTTACCCATGCATGTCATTTCTTATGGTGGGCTTCTGAGAGTGACAGTAGCATAACATGCCTGTGGAATATGTGTTGGAAGGGCTGCCTATAGAATTATCTGAAAGTGCATGTGACAGAGTGGCAATGCAGCAAAGAAATTGAGAGACAGTGACAGAGCATTGTCGTGCTTATGCAAGGATATTCGTATCCACAGGTATTATTTTAACAAAAGCTGATGATTTTAAGATTAAAATGAAATTTTTTTAAATTACAATTGCATATTAAATAATATATAACATTTTAGTAATTGGATTTGCATCTAATTAAACTTTTACATCAGTTACTGTGACTAAATATGTATAACCAAAATTCTCTTATTTATTTGCCAGATCCAATAGCACAGAAAGGAAGAGATAATGTGATCCCTATTCATCCTGATTTCAGAATGATTGTACTAGCTAACAGGCCAGGGTTCCCTTTTCTGGGAAATGATTTTTTTGGTGCTTTGGGTAAGTTGCAGCTTTATAAGTATCACAACTTGCTCCCACATCAGAAACCTCTTTTAAAACTAGTGCTCTTTTATCATAAAATAGTTTGCCATTATTAAATAAATCTCCAAATTAAAGTTATTGAGTCTTTTTAAGTGTGATATCTTCATAATAGAAAACAGAAAAAAGTTACATTGTCACCATATCTGCTGTATGGGTATAACTTTGTATAGTCAAAACATTTCTCTTTAGTTTTAGGTTGGGACCCCTGTCAGATTATTATTGCTGTGTTCACGAGATTCACTTTGTGAACACTAGGGATGCACCAATACCGTTTTTCCAGTATCGAGTACCGATATATTTTTCCAGTACTCGCCGATACTGAATACCGATACCAGAAGTCCCATTAAGGAAGCCGGGCGGCGTGTAATGACTCGCTGCCCAGCTTCCTGATTAGCCAGGAATCCATCTCCATGCTCCCTCGTCAGCAGGTGTCGAGGAAGCATGGAGCCGGCTTTCTGGCCAATCAGGAAGCCAGGGGGCGGGTAATGACTTGCCACCTAGATTCCTGATTGGCCAGCTTCCCGACCAATCAGGAAGCCGGGCAGCAAGTCATTACACACTGCCCAGATTCCTGATTGGCTGGGAAGCCGGCTCCATGCTCCCTTGTCACCAGGTGACGAGGAAGCATGGAGTCGGCTTTCTGGCCAACTAGGAAGCCGGGGTGGCGGGTAATGACTCGCCGCCCGGCTACCTTTATTAGCCAGCTTCTCGACCAATCAGGAAGCCGGGTTCCTGGTTGGTTGGGAAGCCGTCCCTATGCTCCCCCGTGTAATGACTTGCCGCCCGACTTCCTGATACCGGAAGTTCAGGTATTGGGAGCATTTGGGCGAGTACATGTACTCGCCCAGATACTCGGTAGAAATCAATAATTTTACTTTTGTCACCGAAATAAAAACATAATCTTCCAGAAGGGGACACCAGATCTGAAAACAGCTGTCTAGAAGGGGAATACCTTCACATTCATTGGATTTCCTCTTGTTTCCTGTTTCATCTTTGGGACTGGAGCTGAAGGAAAACCTCTTCAAATGACAGAGACAGTAAGAAATAAAGTAACAGGGGTTTCTCCCTTTCCCTAGTGTATCCAAAACAAAACAAATTGGCAATTCATGCACTTCAAATTTCAAAGTGTCATATCTACATTTTGATGAGGCCCACCCTGTGGAGTAAGCTCTAAGAAATTATGCTTTATGTCAAATTTCTTCGGAAATGTCATCTGGCTTTGTATAAATGGATTACACACCACCCCTTTCACACATATCTCTGCAGTAGACTGTGCTGATTTTACTGAACTTTTAAAATAATGTTATGTAAATCAATTGTACTGTTTTCTGGAAAAGGATTTTTTTTGAGGGTGAGTGGGGAGTTGATCTTGCCATGTAGCCATATATCTGTTTATTATGGAATACTTTTTTTAATAGAATAAGGCCAATCTAAATTACCTGTAAAATGTATTTTATTAAATGCATTTCTTGATATGCTTGTATTAGTCCTGCATCATGTTGAGACAGTTCACCCTGACTTTGTGTTGTTTTATAGGAGATATATTTAGCTGCCATGCAGTGGATAATCCAGTTCCGGAGTCTGAGCTAGCTATGTTAAGACAGTATGGACCCAATGTGCCTGATGCTGTGCTTCAGAAACTAGTAGCTGCTTTTGGTGAATTACGAACAATGGCAGACCAAGGAATTATCACATATCCTTACTCAACCCGTGAGGTTGTAAATATAGTAAAACACTTGCAGGTAACTTATGAATCAGCATGACAAAATGTTATCTATATTTACCAGTGCTATGTGTATGACTGCATGGATAAGGACATTGCTTGTCATTGCTTTGTATAACACCTGACTTTTGCAGACATTTCGGTGAGATTCTCAGGGTTAATTGATAAAGTAGAAAATTAGTAATTATATATGATCAGAGTCAGCCTATTGGAATAATTATTGAGCCTAGCAATAGAACAGAAGGGCTTCACAGAAGCAAGATACAATATCTGAAAGTTTAGTATCTCTGACCGAAAACCTCGCTAAACTGGGGCAGCTCCACCACATGTGGAAAGTGTTCTCAGTTTCATCACAACACCTGATACTTCCAGGATAGCCGGCTACTCAAAATCCCTTGATAATGCATGTCAGGCATTCTCACAAGATTTTGATTGTCCAGGAGGCAGCAGAAAGGCACAGCGACATCACCCGTGCCTCGTAGAAGTGTCAGAATCTGGGGTAAGTATTTATTTTACCTTATTTTGTTGCAATATTTTATTTTTAGCTACTTTTGTTGGGAAGTAGACCTTTTATTTCAGGCAATGTAATACCACAATTAAATTCCCCTGTTTATATGCTTTAGCAAGTAAAGGGCTGCATGTTTATGGCTTAAACTGTGCCTAGATGACAGCATTAAAGTGCCATTTTTGCTTTGCGGCCAGTTAATCTGTATGAAAAATGCTCAACTGTTGTCATGGTTACCTTTTTTTAAAAAGCATATTTGTTTATTGCATTTTTCTTTATCTGCTCATGTAGTTTATATTGAAAGTGCCCTCCAGGGGTTGTGAATTAAACCGCAATTAAGATGCATTGGCTAAAAGCAAATCCTTAAATTGATTATTTTTAAAAATAGCCTAAAACTAGAAAACTAAATTAATGAAAGAAACAGAAGTGTCACCTTTAATCAATAAATTGGACTCACTGCTGTTTTTTGTGGATTAATGTCACCAGCTCTAATCCAATTCTAGCAATCAATGATCTGTCAGTGTCCGTATGACACACTTTGCTTGCTTACAGCCTGTAGGATATCTTTGTGATGACAGTGTGTTTTTATGTGCATATTTTGATTTTAATTAGCATCTTTGTATAATGTGTTTTCTGTTTGTTTGTTTTTTATTTTGCATATAAATTTATTTTCCTGTCTGACAACCCAGCAATAATTACATGAAACAATAAACTTGTTCAGTGAAAAATATATCTACAATATAAAATGTGTTGCTTTACTTTCTGAAGGCTCTTCTATTCTCTTTTTTTTTTACTTCTGGACGCAACTGGACCTGTCATCTTATAGCAGCCACCCAACCCAACCAATCCACGAATTATTAATAGGAGTGAATAAAAAAAGATTCATACCCAATCCATTCGCATCCGATCTTCAACGGATGCCAATGGAAGGTAAACTGAAAAATGTATGGGTGTGAATGGGATCAGTTCACACTGCTGCATTGCGTTGCAGTGTGCTGAACATTAAGAGTATATCATGCAAAAACAGATGTCAACAGAACGGAACACAAGTAAAAAAAAATGACATAGAAGTTTGTCCACTCAGAACATGGTAATCAAAATAAAGATTGGCAAAAAAAGAAAAAAAAACATTAAAAAAGGCATCGGAAGTCGAAGTTAAAAGACCTCCGTTGACTTACATTTTTGGTCCTATTTTGGTTTGAACAGGCCCTTAAAGCGTATCTAAACCCAAAAACAACTATTTAATATACTGCAGCTTATTAGTTCCTGGAAGTGGTGGCTGAATTAATTTTTTTCCTTTCAGATGATTTTTCTTTTTAAAAGTAAAGGGGCCTGTTTATCAATGTTTTTAGCCAAGAGTCACACAACGTTCGCTTGAGACTCACCTATTTCTCTCAATCTTATATGAAACATTTTAACGTTTTGGGTGAAAGCTTTGTGAATAATGATAAAAATAAAGAGCCCCCCCCCAATACAAAAAAAACCTAATGCAGGCACCTCATGTCAGGGCTTTCAAGCTGCTAAATATTTATTTTTTATTTTTGGGTTTGGAAAAGGTTTAAAGGGTGTTGTGTTGACAAATGTCAAATTTCTAGAATTCAATTGCTAAAGGTTACATTTATGGCTAGCTGTTGATTTTCCTCAATGCCATTTTTTTTTACACAAAGCCCTCCAAGCTTGTTAATGCCTGGACTCATATCTTGATCGCATTCTGTGAAGCAAAGATTTAATGTAGCAGATTTGGCAGACATAGATTACAACAACCTGATTTTTTTTTTTTTTGTTTTCCTTGATAAACCTTTAGCAGGTTTAGCAGCAGCTTTCTCCGGCAATAAGTAAGTCTTGCATGCCAGGCCATCTCATTGCAGGAGCTAGTTTATGGCAACCAGGGGACCACTGCTTTAATTGATAAGTTGAATATGCTTGTCATATTTTTTAACTTTTCTTGTTTCTTCCATGCAGAAATTTCCAAATGAAGGACTGGCAAATGTGGTTCGGAATGTGTTTGACTTTGATTCTTACAACCAAGAAATGCGTGAAATATTGATTAACTCTTTACATAAGCATGGAATCCCAATAGGAGCCAAACCAACTAATGTGCAGCTTGCTAAGGAGTAAGGAAAAATGTTTTATAAACATTGATTCCACCGTTCATGTTATATTTATTCATTTGAAAAAGGAGTTTTTATCTGCCACTGTATTTACTATAGATGCCGAACATAATAAAATGACATGATCATTATTTCCTTAATGTGTGATTTTGTGCTTCTTAAAGTGCTATTAAAGTCAAAATGTTTTGAGGCTATTTCAAATGCTGATTAAACCACTTACAATGGATCCCTCTTCTTGATGTTTAAACGTTTTAGCACTGTTATGCTGTTTTAGGGACGTTCCTTTACCTTGCAGGGCCCTATGGAGCAACCCTTGTGTGTGCTAGTAAGCTGTGTGTATATCTCCACACACACACAGGCACTGCAGTGCAAGTCATTCCCCTGCTCTCTTCTCCCCACTCCTTCCTCCCTTATCCCTTGTCCAATTTAGTAGATGACCTGCTACTGAAGACTGCGCTGTCCTTTGTGAGTGGAGCTGAGAGAGTTGGAGTCAGCTGTTTGGAAAGGTGCCGACTGTAAGTGCTCGGGTAAACATTTTAAGAAATGCTTTGCTGATGATTGCTGATTTGCTAAATGATTTGCTTTGCTGACCAAACAATGTATATTTGTTTGATCTGGATTCATTGTTGAAAACCAAATTTGGGAGTTTAATATTATACTTTTCAAACCGAAACCTATACTTTTAGGCTGACAGATGCAAACCAAAGTCCATGCCTAGTAGGTGGGTTAAAATGAAACAGATCAGCTTAGAGTATACTTCTTTCCTTCATTTTTTTATATGCTTGGTAAGGTAACATGCATTTGAGAAAGTTGGGTATGTTCAATAAAAGAATTTGAAACCAGCTATTATGTCAGCTAAATGTGTATTTGTAGAAATGCCATTTTGTTGTTGAGCTGAGCGTATTACTTATAAATGGCCCCATAGCGTTTTTAAATGTTAATTCGGAATGAACTATTCCCTCGTGTTTCCTGTGTTGTATTCTTCCAGAAAGGTCATCAAGTAATGAATGCAGTCATTTTAAAACTGCTTGTCATGCATTTTGATATATAAACTCATATTTCTATTCTGTTATTCACAAGAATGCATTTATAAATCTGCTGTTTGGAATATAGAAGTGATGGCATAAGAAGGTAACTGGAAACATAAACCACTATTTTTAATATTCTAAAATGGTAGGAAATATGACTTTAAATCCTATGATACTTTTTAAATGTAAATGTTAAGAATCACTAGGCAAACATTTTTTTTCAATTGGTATCAATTAGCATAGGGATAGACTCTCTGTCAAGTTTGTATTGCTGCCTGTGTTCCCATTTGTTGAATTTCACCCATCTACAGTATTTGTACTGGTCGCCATTGTCACAGAGAAAATAAGTGAGGAAAATCCAAAATATTATTATTTCCCCCAGAAAAAGAGGCAAGGGGAAATCTTCCAGTGGAGACACCTGTCCCAGGGACATCTGGACATCACACGCTGTTACAGCTAATAGAGGGGGACACCCACCTGTCCTGCAAAATGTCTCTAAGGGGTAATTGCCCCACACGAGATTTCCTATCTTGTCTTTGAGACAGGAAGTGGATGGAAACCTTTCCTAATGGAACTTACGTGGTTGTACGAATCTCCTGCTGAGCTATTATATTCCGAGGGTGGCGGGTGTGCAGCCATCACTATTCGGCTAAAGATTTTTCAACCGACTTCTTTTATTTTCTGAACAAAGGATGCATCACAGACAGGTGTGGACAGGGTTACCCATTGATCAAGAACCAGACAAAATGTGCATACTGTATGCCAGCCTAAAGGTCCATTTTATTAGTTCATAATAGGAGAAAACCTCATCATGGGTACTTATTTTTTAAATTCCAAGTTTGAATTATACTGGCCTGGCAGTTTAATCAAGTGCAGCTGTTATGAGTTATCTCTTTTTTTATTTGCATTGTCACACATTTTTTGGCAAAACAAAACATTCTGTCTGAGAAGGAAGCTTGTTATATGGAACAATTTGAGTCTCAGCCTTTTTTATTGAACAACTTTTTCATCTAGTTGTGGTATACCAGCCTAGCTCTCTAGTATATGTATGTCATTTTTGGTTTGTATTGTAATCATGCTTTTCTACAGAAGCCCCATTGACCTTTGTAGAGGCAGTGGTATTGTTCAGTCTCCTCACTAATGTACACTTTAATTTAAAAAGACTGAAATGTACAGCTTTGCACTTTCATGCATGAGGTAGTTCTGTATTAAAGAGGCAGATGCTAGCTCCAATTTTTGAAAGGATCCATAACAGCATTTCAGTTAATTTACGCCTTATAGTTATATTAGTGGCAGAAAATATCCAGCACTCCTGCGAATTATTATCATAATGTTACACAGTTTCACATCTCAAGAGCTTTTTAGTCTTCTAGTAATTGATCATTATTATTTACAATATAAAAATGAGTGTGTGTGTATACACCCACACACCAACCTTTATTTCAGCAAAACTGTAAAAAAAAACCATTAGATCTAACTCTCTCACTGTATCCACAACTATAAAATAAAATTCTAGGTGGCATATACTGCTGATGAATGACTTCTAATTGTGAAGGCTCTGAAATTAGAAAATAAATGTTAAAGCCAGACTACAGCTACAACAGGCTTCCCACAGAGTCCCACAGTGCAGTCTAACTGGAAAGGCTAACTGTACAGTGCAGTGACCATTGACTTCTTAAATACCATTACAGATAATGTACACAGTGTGGTGACCATTGGGTCCTTGGATACCCTCACAAACGAGACTCACTGCACAGTGCAGTAACCAGTAACTCCTTACATAACTTTGCAGACCAGGCTAATTGCACAGTGCAGTGCAGTTTTTGTGCCAAAATCCGTGGCAGCCTGTGTACAGTGTGTAGCATCATTCAGCCATTAGTTTCCAAACCTTTCAGTGTACATACTGTACTAGTTTTTCATGCTGTGTATGTGTGGGCTTTTTTTTACAGCAGTGACATTTGCCCTTTGGCATTACATTAACTGATCTGGAAAACTGTATTTTAAACCTTTTGAAGCATGGAAGTGTGGAGAAATAAGCATTTTCAAGCCTAGGCATGAAGACTGGTATCCCAATAATAAGATCATTTACTCCCCTATTATAGTTATTTTTTTTCTCTACCGCCTAGGAAGCATAATGCACATTGATGTGAAATGAACCTACAAACTGTAACCTATGATGATGATGTTGTGTATATTCAATGTTAGACAGCTTGCTAAGGTTGTATGCGAGGATTAGAATTGTTATTCAGCAGTATATTTTAGTTTGTATAAAATGAACTCCTGTTTCCAGAATGATTTACAGGCTTATTTTTTTAAAAGATACGTGTTAAAAGTATGACATCCCCCCCTCTCTATATAACATGTCTATTTCTTCATCCTATAGGTTGTCACTTCCAGATATTCGTTTTGTGGGCCACTGGACAATAACACAAACTGGAAATGCCCGTCGCAAGCTTTTGTGTCCAACAGAAGCACATCAAATCAATATAAAGGTTGTTTATTTTCCTTTGTCATGTTTTATAGCTACTCTGAGACATCCGTATAATTCTTGCTGCCTGAGGCGGGGTGTAGTGTGTGTGTTGGGTGTAGGGGCGTGCAAAGCACCTCTGTCCAGCGTTCCTCCCAGCTCACTGACATGACTGGTTGCCAGGATCTAGCCAGGGCATCCCACTCAGCTCCTGGCAACCAGTGATGTCAGTGAGCTGGGCAGGGGTGCTGGCCAAAGCGTCACAGGTTGCTACGAGCTCTAAGCAACCACGAACACACAGGCCCAAAAGGCGGCAGCAGTTGTTTTCCCATGTCACCCAATGAGATGCTGCCTGAGGCAATCGCCTCATTATAGAGACAGCCCTGTAGCAACTACAATAACACTAGAAGTTGTGGTTATGATGCAGATTTGCAGCAGATGTTGAAATGAAAATGTATTAATCACCTTTCAAGAGCTTTTCTTCAACATCACAGGTAGTCATGGTAGTTTTACACATTGTATATTCATTGTAGACGGTTGGTGACTGGTGGATTTCGGCAGTGCTTATAGTTTAGGAAGCACATTCTAATCTGTTGCAAATTTGTTACATAGCAATAAAATAGGGGAGAAGATTGAATATGACTCATGCAAAGTCATAATGGTTTACGAAAATAGACTAGTGTTTGTTCATGTATTTTTGATGAATTGTTATTACATGTCTTAGTCTAATTAATTAAATTCAGTGCTGTAAGTTTTATCTTTGTCCCAATTTAGGGCCCAGTGTACATAAATGTGCAAGGCTTTACATTGGAACGTTCTGAGTCTCGGTCCTTGAGCTTCACAGAAGAAATGGCTCACTGGCGTATTCCACTCAGTGAAGTGAACATTGTGTGTGATGTCATTGCTTCCTCAGGTGTGTTTTTGCAATTCCTCTAAATTACTAATTCGTATAACTGAACATGTTTAATTTTTCTAAACCTCTAAAAGTACTGTAACCTATTAGATTCTTACTTTTATTAACAGGGTGAATCTGTTTGCTATTACTAACACACATTTCTTCTTTTGGAAAAATTCAGTCGTGATACCTTTTGCAAATAGCAGTCAAACATGTCAAATGGCAGAGAAATAACTTATCCTGACACACCTGGTCCTCGTTCCTTTTTCTCCAAAATTTTTAGATGATTTTCCTTTAAACATCTTAAAAACTGCTATGACCTCAGAAACACATAGGGGTTTGTTTATAAACAATTTGCTGAGCCATTCACCCTGTGAATCTCTGTGAATGTTAATTCTGTATGAATGGAGGCAAAAAAACAAGTGTTCTTAGTGTATTCTCTTTTCAGTTTGAATGTAATATTCAAAAAATAGCACAATATTTCCACTAGATGGAGCTGAGTGAGCATAGGGATACATATTTATTTCCTGTTGTCACCTCCCAAAGGCTCTATTAGACTGCTTCCTATTCAATAGTAAATAAAAGTAATTCACCGGCACACACTTGAAGGGTTTTTAAAGTATTGATATGTTTATTCAATACCCAATGTCATATACTGTCATACATTGCTAACGTTTCGGGGGAGCACAGGGATCCTTCATCAGAGCGACAGTGACGCTCTGATGAAGGATCCCTGTGCGGACCCGAAACGTTAGCACTGTATGACAGTATGTGACATTGGGTATTGAATAAACATATCAATACTTTAAAAACCCTTCAAGTGTGTGCCGGTGAATTACTTTTATTTACTATTAGTGTTTTGCACGGCGCCATCCGTGTGGTCACCTGGGCACCACATATACCTTGTGGTTCTGAGACCGTGGCAGTGCGAATAAGATTTGGACTTTGCTTCCTATTCAAGATAGTGTATTTTTTTGGTTGTACTGCTAGGAGATAGGGAGGTGTCTTTTGGGAGGGTTATGTTACTTGACAAAGTTGGGTTTTCATCAAATAACCAGCGAAAATGAAGGTTGTATAATGTACAAATACAGAAATCTATATGTGCTTTTGACGTTGAGCTTTTCGTAAGCTTTAATTTTTTAAACCGGGCCTAGAAAAATCAAACTGGTTGGTTACAACTTTTTTGTTTACTTTGAATCAGCTTTTAGATAAGGCCAGCTCTTTTAACTCTTATTTTCTATTTTTTGGGACTGTCTTGATCTATTGAATCAGAGGTCTGTGTTAATTTACACTTTAATCATCTCTTTCAGAACCTGATGGTGACAGCACTATCCACGTGGCTACGTGTAACCCAGTGACCTTGTATTTTATGAAAACACAGGAGGATAAAGGATACTATGTGGATTTGTATAACATATTTCCTAGAACTGCGGGAAGTGTGTGGCAGCCATCAGTAACTGTGGCACCTCTAGGCCACCCTCTTAGTGGACAGGTTATTCTACACGAAGAGCAGGTAGGTTAATACATTTTTATCTGCTATTAACAGGAATTCTGTGAGACAAAAAGTCAGTTATTGATTAATTGTTAAAAATTAGTGCATGTTAAAAATGTTAGTGTAGGTCCTCACATTGGATACATTAATACTAAAGCATACATTTTTTTCAAACTCCCAGTCAACAAGCTCAATTTGTTAGAGCAGTGGTGGTCAACTTCCTTAATATAGGGGGATCAAGTGCAGTCCCTGACTTTACCAAAGGGCTACACGTAATATTGATTGAATGTAATTTTACAGAAATCTGTCAGAGACTGCAGACATTCAACATGAAATGGTCAGAAACTAGAGGCATACTGCAGGAGATAGTAAGGGACTGAAGACAATGCCTCATGAGATGGCCAGGGACTGCAGACATGTTACAGGAAATGGTCAAATACTACAGGCATGCTAAAAGAGATAGTCAGGAGACTAAGGACATTCTAAAAGAAATAGTTAGAGGCTTAGGAGATGTTGGGGGTTAGGGACATGCTTCAGGAAACAGTCACAGATTGGAGACACATTACATGTAACAGCTAAAGATCACTGCTAATACAGCCCCTCTACAAATAAATGCTGCCACATTTGAGCTTCCTTAAAAATGACTTGTGACACACTGGATATTTATGTCGGCAAGATCCATTATTCAAGATCGGAGAATAAAAAACATAGAAAAGGAAAATGGAATGGGCAGCACAGAAAAAGTAAGATTGTTCAAAAGTTTAAAAAAGACAAACCATTTAGCTACTTGAAGCCGGTCTAGAGAATATTTTCCTTCACTGGCCTGATTAAGCACCTAAATATGGAAGGCAGACATTGTCTGCAGGAGACGCAAGGGCCGCACAATAAGTGTCAAAGGGCTGCAGGTTGAGCACCAGGGTGAATTAAATGAGGGTCTCTTATATCTGCCTACATTTACACTATAACTTTTCCTGCCTGAGGAAATTAAACAAAAATACACTGATCAGTTAGCGGACACTAATATCATCTATGGTTATAGTAAATTTCTTCTGCTAAGTTTTTCTTAGAGTTCATTACCTATAGCAAGTAACTGAGCAGTGTAGAAAAAACAGGGAAATAGATATTAAACTAAAGTGATATTACATCCTTTTCTGTAAATTATTTATGTTTTTAGAGCAATGTCATCCTTCTGTTGGATACCAGCACTGGGGCACTTCGTCGAGTTGTGCTTTCAGAAGAAGATACAGAACCTGCAAGAAAATCATCTTGGTGGGGTAGTAAGGAGGCTCAGGTAGACTCTTTTTTTTCCGCATTTTTAATATAAAGCAGTGTAAACCAGATGATGGAACATTTTCATGTACAGTGAACAATATGCCTGTACTAAGACGTTTCTCACAGCCACTACTCAGATGCAAACCTGCCATGGAAAAGGAAATTTAATTGGTGATGCTGGAGGAAAAGAGAGTTGAAGTTAGTGTGTGTAAAGATTTGGATTGTGTCAGGGAAAGGTTAGGACCCCTGTCCGTTTTTTTATTTGTTGCTGTTTATGTCCCACCAAGGAGATTTCCCATCATTGCTCCAGAATTCCACCAAAGTTGGTGGCAATCCCCCACTAAGGTCCATTTCACACTTGTAAATGGGGCTGGTCGCATGAGTCTAATGAATTCCTCCGTGAGGCTCATGCAATCTGCTACACGTGGAAAGCACCATACAATACAATGACATCTGCCCACAACTGTTTGCAGGCAGTTCACAAATTATCGCACTATTACCTGCAGATGACTGCAGCTGGACACAGACTGTTTGCGCCCAGGTGCGATCTTCCGCGGGTATTTATTTACAGCATGTGCAGTTACATAGCAGAAATTCATAAGACTCGTGCAATCAGCCAAATCCGCACTCTATGCAATATGCAAAACTACTATTAACTTCACATATACTTTATTAAAGCACAGGTTTGAGGAATTCTAATCCTTCAGCTCCTCCCACTGATCCTGCTAGACAGGCTGGGTACAGAGGATTACAGTGTTAAGGATTAAGGTTAACAGAGTGAATTTTCTAAATTTAGCACAACACAATGTTTCCTGGATAGCATTAGTAGGTCAGTGACTACTTTCACCTTTTGCCTGGAATTGCTCTTGTTAGTCAGCTATTGCTGACTAACAAGAGTAGTCTGGATACGTATGCATTTTATATCAATTCACATTACTACTGACAAAATAATTACAGTCTAATTATATTTGTTTAAACTTTACTCAAAGATTGGATACAGATTCTGCTTCTTACATGTCAGTGTTGCAAAACCAGCATTCCCTCTGTAGCTGTTTTTAACTTGTCATTACCTGTGACACTATACTTTGTTTTTTCCATGCCCCTTTATTATTTGATTTTTTTAATGTTGTTTATTATCTTTCTTACTCATTTGTATCACTAGATTCTGACTTTATCTTTTTCCTTGAATTTCATTTTGACTCATCACATTGTTACTTTATCTGAATTAATATACCTACTGTTTTATATATCTCAGTAACTTTACATACTGTACATTGAATACTGCTTTTTGATATCATTTTCAATTTAAAGGGACCCTCTCTGAATGCTACAAAGCTAGTCACAGATATAAAAGGGCAGTTAGCCAAAGGTTTCCAGCCTAGCTAATAGGTCTTTTGGCCTGTGCTGCCATCTCTAACATGTCATTAGTAGCAATTCCTGCCACTGACATGGCCTGAATGCTTTTGAGACCAGTCTAAATGTTGCAATGGGTATTTTATGTCTATGAGTATTTATTTTACCAAAGGTGATAAGCAGGGATGTTATACATATATCTTAATGGGAGTGTTGACTGCTAGCAGGCTTTCAGCACTCTTCAGAACCACTTCAGTTTACTGAAAGCTTGTAAAAGCCAGCTAGCTTTCTAAAAGTTGGCTGTACACACTTCTCTTATTCAAGTGTTGACCATGGCAGATCAGGCACATCAGCAATGCCAGTTGCTTCATTCTTGTTTGTCATAAATTGCTATCCTCGCAGGGTGAGTACGAGCAGGGCGAGTCCGAGCAGGTGGAGGGGAGGGGGGCTCTTACTTCATGTAATTAGACAAGTGGATTATAATGGGGAATATTACACTGTAATGTTCCCTATTATAGAGTCTCAGGTGGTCTATGCAGTATCTATGGTGTGCTCTGCAGGGTCTCAGGTAAGTCGAGCACGCTACTGCAACATTAGAGACCGCTGGGGGGGCCACTGTGATCCGCTGCTGCACCTGCACCCCCTACCCCCCCCGTCTTGGGAGGGGGGCCCAAGATAAAATCTTGCACCAGGGCCCTTTGGTTATTAGGTCCGCCACTGAGAGGTATGTATATATGCAAGTGAATCGTGTCTCACATCTGGATTTTTGTATCTGCTTATAGACTACAGATTGATTTGATGATTTGTAAAAGTGAATTATCCGTGCTATTACAAGAATGATCTTATTTACCTTCTGATTATTTGTAGCATGATTATGTACAGCTATTTATTAACTGTAATTATAAACAAAATTATTTCTTTTAGGAGAATTATAAAATGTGCAGGGATTTTTAAAATAAGAAAGGGCACTGCCCACTCAATCTCCTTACCTATCAATCTCAGGTCTGTTTTCCTAGTGGCAGAAGACAGGTGGCTCTTGACTGAGAGTAAATCAAACAAGTAAGTCAACTATTTTTGCTCCTGATAGACAGCATGTAAACTTTGCTGCTGAAAGGAAAGATCACAGTGTTGGTGATTATTGGAAAGTCTAAGTATGAAAACAAACTATTGAAGGGTCATAATAGTAATAATAGTCTTCAAGTCTAAGTCCCAGAGATGATCCACCGCTTTAATCCACACTCAGTCTGCCAGTCTGGGCAAGATGTAGGAGCCTGCCTTGCCTCCAAGAGAGTACTCAAATAGGAAGATGTCGCACACCACTGATGTCACCCTAAACGTTTATAGTGATGCCAGTGGTTTGCAGCGTCTTCTTTGCATTTGAGTCTGCAAATCTTGTTTTAGACTCTGAGCACTTTCTTTTTTCAGGGATTTAGTATGTAACAAAGTTTTGAAAATAGATGAATGGTAAATATACAACGAATACCATTCTTGATTATCTATTGTAGAGAAATTATCAATCTGCAAAATCTTCAGTATTTTTGCTCTTTTCTAGAAATGACAAAGAGCTTTGTATAGCCATAATAGGTTTAAGGGAAAATATCATGGTTTTTGGTCAGTTACATTTTATTTGAGTGCCTATAACCTGTTGTTTAATTTAAGATTTATTTGATTTTGCTCTTTTATACTTGTTTTACCAACACATTTTAATACCTGCTGCTTTTGTGGCTTTTTGTTTACAGTGTATACTAGACTTTCTAATATACAGGTGAAACTCGAATAATTAGAATATCGTGCAAAAGTAATTGCAGTAAGTGTTGCAAAAGGGGCCCAAACCAAGTACTGAGTACATATGCATGCTTGTACTTTTCAGAGGTCCGATATTGTTCTATGTACAATCCTTGTTTTATTGATTGCATGTAATAATCTACTTTTTTTAGGTTGTGGATTTGGGGTTCTTGGGGTTTTCATGAGCTGTAAGCCATAATTATCACAATTATGACAAATCACGGCTTGAATTATCTTGCTTTGCATGTAATGAGTCTATCTCATATATTAGTTTCACCTTTTAAGTTGCCTTAGTGAAATAAATGAACTTTGCACGATATTCTAATTATTCGAGTTTCACCTGTAAAAGCCCACCACTGCCTGCACATTTTTTACTGCCTTCCTGTAATTGAAAATCCATGTGGTTCTGCAAGAATTAATAAGAGAGAGCAGCTATGGCCCTCCTCTGACTCATTTGGTTGTGTCTGCATAAATTACAAAAACTACTCGAGTATAAGCCGTCCCGAATATAAGCCGAGGTACCTAATTTTAGCCAAAAAAACTGGGAAAAGTTATTCACAGCATAGCAGTAAATAATGTATATTAGCAGTAAATAACATACATAATAATATGAGGGTAGTGCTGGGCAGGTACCTTGAATGCTTCATTGGCTGGCTCCAAATGGTAAATATGAAATATTCATATGCAATACCTCATATTTACCCATCTAAAAAAATTAGGAATACTTTACTGGACATTAATAAAGAAAATATATACATTCTCTTTAATGTTTTCTCCATGGAAAACAAAGTTCTAAAAACATTCTTGACGCATGATGGAAATTATAGAATGAAATCAGTTCTCTGCATATACTGATGTCTGTTTATTTAGAGACTATAATATAATGTTAAAGATATCAGGAAAAAGTAAATTCATTATTTGGCTCTTTATTTTGATGGGGGTCTGAAACATAAATTTTTTAGATTCAGTCCATTTAAAAAAAAAATGTTTTATTCTTTATTGAAGACTGAATAGTTGTTTTCAAAACTATGATAGAACCAGAATAAAATAGAACAATCACAATGAAAAGTACCGTATGTCAAATGCAAAAAATGTAAGACTAAAAACATTTTCCTTTTGGCTGGGTGTGGTCCATCTATATAGATACCGATCAGGGGTAACAACATAAAAGGTAAGACAACTGGTAGAAATTGAGCCCCCCGACACCCAGTGGAGAACCCTAGGAAGGGATCCCCAACAGGGCAACCCAGGAATGGAAAAGGGATAAGCAAGAATAGTTACCCAAATGAGCTGCTAGGAGAGAGGAAAGAGAGGAGATAAAGGAGGAGAGGAGAGACATCAAAAGGGAAGCAAGAAGAGAGCAGGAGGCATATGAAGCAAGGTCAGTCCCCACTCCCAGGACCGATAGGACACCTCCCAGAGAAACAACAGGGAAAAGGGGGAGGAGCATCACAGGATCAACCTCAGGACATAAGTTGAGCGTATTGGTCAGTGTATCTGAAATACACCCAGGGGATCCAGATCGAGTTACATTTCTCCTCTAATGAATTGTAAGGGTGGATTTATATTTCTTGAGAGGCTTATCAGTCAGATGAGATGTAGGAGACACGCTGCAGGATTGTCTTGTAGGTCTCTCGTAGTCAATTGAGCAATATTCTTGTGGACAGAAGCCCAAAACTGCTCGAGCTTCGGACAGGACCAAAAATTTTTAGGATGGTGCCCAAGGCAGAGCCACATCTCCCGCACTGCGAGGGGATGGCCGCATTCATTTTGGACCCACCACTTGAGGAGTTTGTACTTGCTTTCTTGTCTTGATAGCTACTGGCCATAGAGGATTTGTGCACCAGGGATAGGATATTATCCTGCTGGATGGGCGTAAACTTCCGCCCCAAGTCTTGTTCTCATTTTTTTTAAATGGAGGACAGTCCAGAGGAGGGGAGGATAAAAGTTTATATAATGTAGAAATCACGTGACAGGAGGGCGAAGAATCCATACATATACTCTCGAAGGCGGAACAGGGTCTATGAAGCCTTTGAGGGAGAGGGAGAGGGAGAGGGACAGGTTCAGTCCATTTTTATTGGAAATCTGTGGTAAGAAAACAAAGCAATAAACAATGTTGTCATTATCAGCCACACAGAATGATGAGAACACAATTGCAATAGAAAAAACTGTTGGCGGCATTAAGGTGTCTAGCACAGGATGTGATATAGTATAATAATGTCACAATTTAAAAAGTGAAAAGAAATGTAGGAAAGAAAAACAGAGACAGAGGAGTGGTAAAAAGACAAGGCACTAGAGCAGTGGGGAGCTCAGATCATACGGTCTCTGGCTGCCAGCGGCATTGTGGGTGCAGAGACTATACAAAGTCTGCTTTCCACAAGACAAAGCCTATATGGTAAAAGAAATAGCCAGATACAACATTGTCCAGTAGTACTAAGCAGGAGCAGAGCTTGTATATGTAATGAGCCAATATGGCTGTGCCTACATACAATATATAGCTATATAAATACAGTGTTTTTGATACTTATAATATGATGATCTTTTTATGAGCATAACCAAAAAAAAAAAAACTATAAAAAGAATAGCACTGCCCTCTATAGGAAACATAGATGTAGTGGGAAATAGCAATAAGCAAGGGGGAGTATTATTTCAGAATACCGAAAAAATAGTGAATGAGCATGTGGTGTGTTTAGGTGAAACATTAATTTTTTTATTCAGAAACGCTAATAAGTAAATTAGAAGTATTAAAGTACAAATCCAGCCAGTCAGTGGGCACACATACTAAATGATATTTATACAATGGAGACCCTGGGGCCATCTGACCAGACTAGACTTGCAAGCCCTCGAAACATGGTCTTGTTGGTTGGCCCACAAAAATTCACCTGAATTCAAACAGTTGGCCCACCATTAACCTGAGACATCCCCTATTTCTGAGAGACCTGGGAACCTATGCATCTTGGAGGAAACTGGAAACCAGAAGGAAAAAGAAAAGGGGGAAAAGAAGATGATCTTTAGGGGTAGTCCATTGCAACCTTATCCTGCATGTTACTGCAATGCATCAATGTTGATGGGTCCTAAATGTTGTTCATTTTGATGTAGAAAGCCAAAGACCACTAATGTATTTGCAACACAAGGATCTCAAGACTGTGATGGCATGCTAGGTTTTCTGATGCTTGATAATGTTTTCCCTGCAGGAAGTTTCTTCTTACAACACCTGTACACATGGAAGCTGAGGAGAATGGAGTTTGTCAGTTGCACACTCTAGAAGAGGAAGCAGTGAGCGCAGGTTTTGGAGTAACAACAGGTATTGACATCAGAAATAATAATGTATTGTGTATCCAGGTAGGGAAATGGAGTACACATCAAATAAGGCACCAGTGCTATTTTCCTATTTATTCATTTAACCAACATATTGGTTTTAAAAGACATTGGGGGGAATCTATCAAACCTGGAGCAGACACAATCTGGAGCAGTGGCCCATGGCAACCAATCAGCTTATCTCTTTCATTTTCAACTCTTGACTGAACAAACTGAAGAGAGAAGCCGATTGGTTGCCATGGGTACCTGCTCCAGATTCTGTCTGCTCCAGTTTTAATAAATTCCCCCCCAAAGTGTATAGGCTAAAAGTGTGGCTTCAGTGACCTACTGCTTCCATTTAAAACTGACCAAAGCAAGGAATGCATTCATATACCTGGCATGCATGACCTTGGTGGAATATTTTCATATTGCAAAATCAAGGGATGGATATATGAAACATTGTGCTCATTTAACCCCTTCATGACTGAGGCCCTTTTTTCATTTTTTGCACCCATGTTATATTCCACATTTTAGGCCTGAAAATAATGTCATGCATAACAGGGCAAGTAAACATACAGTTTTTCACTGAAACATTTACCATGCTTCTGCTAATCCGTGCCTGAATTGAAGAGTCATTTCACTTTTGTTGTGAAAAAAAAACCAATCCTCTGTGGGTGATCTTTTTAACAAACGTTGTTGCAGTTTCCTACCCGTTTCTATTATGAGGAAAAAGCTTTTTGGTTGCAGCATGTCCTTTCCAAACAGATTCCTGAATAGGAAGGTCTTGGATCGTTATAACCATCTGGTGGGCTTCCTGTGTAATAAGGAAAGTTGCAGTGTCTGCATCCCTTTACTAGTAATAAACTCTTGAGGAGTATCTCACCAAAAAGGAAATTCCTATTGCAAAGGATGCAAAAAATGTAACTTGTATCTTAATGCAGACTTCTGGGAAAATCAGTCAGCCAATCACAGAAGCAGGAAGTGACATTTCTGGGAGGCGTTTGGTGCACCAACTGTGTACGAAAACGCCTCCATGTCGCCATATTGCATTGCATTTGTTTGATTGATTTAGAATATTACAGCAACTACAGTTTTACATTGAAAGGTAATGTTCTTGTTTTTAATCCATTGAGTTACTAACCCACAACATGTGCAGTAATAAGGGCTTCTGAATCTCTTGATATGCATATTTGTTCCGGGTCAGTAAAAGTACTGAAGACAGAAATTGCAGCATAAGAGCTAGGCAACTAGCATTTTTAGAAGGAAGTCAGCAATGACAGCACCTACATTTCTTTTAGGAAAGGTTTTATCTCAAGTTAAAATGTAATACATTATTCTAGCTGCTGCTATTGAGTATTATATGCAGCATCCGGACAGGGATCATTGTTTAGAGCTTCCCACTCGATGTAGTTGTCTGCTATAGAAGAGGAATTTAATGTTGATAATTACTTTGTGATTTCCATTTTCAAGTGATTTCCACAATGTTTTAAATTGCTGTATAACATTAAGCCTTCTTCACATGTGACCAATTCTCTTTAATGAAATGGAAATTAACCTTATACTTTGTTTCTTCAGACTTTGAGCTCTCCAACCCCCATGTGATATCCAGTGATCAGCTGCCACCTGAGAACCTGAGTGCAGCCATCGGGCAAAAAATCAATTCTCCTAATAGGATTCTTTCTGATGAGAATAACTATGCCTCCATCGTTGTGGGCTTCCCAGATCTACTGGTAAGTGATAACACATTAAAAAGCAAATATTTGTCAAATATTTAAGGATTTTGAAAAATAAACATTTAGGGAAGAAGTTCAGAATCTGATACATTTAATTAGTGCAATCCATATTTCTCCAGGTTCGTGAACATCTATTTTTTTAAGCAAGATCTGTTAGTCCATTTTCTTATCCACTTTATTATCAGAAACATGTCTACACATTAAAAAAATATACAACAATGAACTGCGCCAATAAGCAAGCTAACAGCAACAAGGCACTGGAATGTACACCCACTGTGAGTGTGTATACTTGAAAAAGAAATAACTAAATGTACAGAGCTCGCCACATTTAGTTATACGTGTCAGTACATTAGAAATTTAAAATAGAAATTTCAAAGATGGAGTCGGGTGCAACTAAATAAGGAAAGTATTGTTTTTAAAAAAAGGAGCTGTTTTATTTTCTAAATATAACCTATTAACACTTTCATTTTTTTTTTTTTATTACAATGACAGGATAGCTAATATTTAATTCGGAGTCTGATACCCTGAAATATTTTCTGCCCGTGCTCACCTCCTCTTCCACATCATATGACTGACAGCTTAGCTGAAATAAAAACAAATAAGGGAAGCACCTGCTGCTTTGTGGGAGCAGAATTGTTTTTCCTAGTTTCTGCATGGCAGGCATGGAGGCCCATAAACCATAACATCTTTATTCAATGAAGAGTGCTCATTTTTAAGTGCTAGAACCAATTACAGTTGTTTAGAATTCGTTTTGTCCTAGGCTGACTTCAGCAGCTTTATTGAATAAGGCAGCAAGTGTTTTGTTTTTTTTTACAGACAGTGCTGCAAGTTTTCTAAAATTGCACTGAGGTTATTTTATGTTACTGATCTAGAAGCAAATGCCACCCTTTGGTTGCTAGTTTTTGTGTGTCTTTTACTGTACCTTTGGTTTGTCATTGCAGTCACCAAGTGAAGTATACAGCTGGAAGAGGAGGTCTGCTTTGGGAAGTCATGGAACATACACCGCTGATCAGTATTTCCAGTCGGGACGCAGTAAATCTGGAAATATCAGGAAAGGCTGTTGTGTGAGTTTAGTAGCTGCTAACCAGATTGTGAGAGGTGTGCCAGCTGTAGATGTCCCTTTCAAAGATATTTACTCTAAAGGTAAGTCCTGCAAATGTATTGGGTTTAGTTTTAAGAATGAGTTTATACAATTAAAGCTGGTGATGTACTATATGTTTCTTTGCAAATATACATTAATTATAGGGTTTTCTCATGACACAGGAGTCACAGAGCATTAGGTTTTCCAAAGAAAAGAGCGCAGCAGAAACCTTTGACTTTCAGGCTATCTCTCTTCAATTGAAACTCTGTTTGGTACTGCAGAGTAGGAAGAGATGTAATGAGTCATTCCTCTTACTGTTTTTGCTGAATATATTTTGGATGCAACAGATAAGAGTAAGGTACTTAAGATTTGAATGCTGTCTGTTACCCTGTTTGGGAGATTTCCCCTTTTTTTCCTGTCAAAATCTATGATTTTGATCCTATAAGATTTTGGTGTGCTGGTGACATTTCTGCAAGTATAGAGAGATAGGCAATCTCTCCAAGGGCGACACAAACAAACACATATTTTTGTAGTTAGAATGTTTGTCTGTGCCTGCCTGTCCTGGTGATGCCCACACAGCCCATTTCATGTGCAGGCATCACAAAGACAGGAAGTGTGAAAATCCCCCCAATCACACAGGGTTTTGTTCTTAAAGCAGACCTTGTAGTCCATCATCATAAATAACAGCTTCAAAGTTTAAAAAAAAATGTAGGGAAAAAAAGTTAGCACATACAGTATACTTACTTTACCTCTGGCTACTTACTACAGGGGGTGACATTACCATTCTTAAGGTGCCCATACACTGCACGATTATCGTACGATAATCGTATGCGATCGGTTTTTCGTACGATAATCGAGCAGTGTGAACGGAGACGTGCGACCGTTTCTACTGTACGGTCGCACGTCTTCTGTCGAACCAGCATGTTCGAAAACCCGAACCAGCATGTTCGAAAACCAGCCGGGAATCGTACGATTCTCGGCTGGTTAGAACGGTGCTCGGAAGACAAATGCCGAACGGGCCGGTGTGCGCACGCGCACACTGCCCGTTCAGCATTGCGGTCATCGGAAGCCCGCCCCTCAGGGGGGCGGGCTTGCGATGATCGAGAGTGCGATCTGCCTGTCCAAGATAGGCAGATCGTACGTTTTTTTAATCCCTGTACAACCATCGCAAGACTAAAGTCTTGCGATGGTTGTAGAGTGTATGGCCACCTTTACAGAGAGATCCCGGTAATGCTGAGTATTACAGACATTTGTATAGCGTTTTATGCAGTGCTTTCCATACTGTACATTTACTTCAGTCCCTGCTGCCAATGAGCTTACAATCTAGTCTAGTCAATCTCGGAGCTGCCAGTCAGTTCTTATCTGGGTACCTTTTGCTGAATAAAGTACTATATTCATCATGTGTATAGTGCTAATGGTGTTTGCATTGTAAATGTGTGCTATGAACGGTGTCGTTACATAGAAGATGTAAGTTAAGATGAACTCTACTTCTGCAGGTATCTAAGATTTTACCAGTGTTTATGTAGCCCTTCTTAATTTAGTACATTTATGAGCAGTATGAATCTAAGGTGACAAATTCATTTCACTTAGTGTGTGCAAAGAATGTGTGAAAGAGCTGGTGTATTTTTGGGTAATGTGAGTCATTTATTAACTGTGAAGCAGCTTGTGCTGTTGCCACATTATTCATTATAACACATATGCAACCACTTTATTTATAGAAAGATGTTAAATGCAGAAGACAAATTTCATGGTATTGTTTACTGAAGAGCTTTCCATATAACATTTTGTCACCTTAGTGCTACAAAACTCAGTGTACTACTTCAGTTCTTGGAACTCTTTATAAGCACCCTGGGAAGAAATTACTTTAACATGAATGTAAAGGTTACCTTAACTTTAATTTATAATTAGTATTGTTCTGTTTGACATTCTGCTACTTTGTGTGTAATTGGGGTGTAGCCTATGGCATCCAACCGGATTCTTGCAGGGTATGCTGTAAAAGCTGAGGGATGAACAGCACAGTTGGTACTGTTATAGTGGAACTGCAGCCAATTATTCCCTTCTTTGTTTTGGAAAGAGTAGGAAAGGGATGTTGTCTCCTCCGTCTGTGTTTCTGTTGGGAAGATTTCCCCTTCCCATTTTCACTGCTAATTGAAAGAGAGAGAGAGATTACTTTTGACTGCCAGTTCCAATTAGACAAAAGGAAATGAAGGGAAATCATATTCATAGTCCGACTTGAGTTCCAGTTTAACCCCTTCGTGACGGGAGACGTACACTGTACGTCCAGCCACAAAGGGACCAAATGACTCGTCACGTACACTGTACGTGACGAGTTATTTGCTGCACTAGAAGGCTGCTAACCGCTGAGAATCAGCGGTTACCTTTCAGTAATAGATGTCTAACTATCTAGAGATCCATTACTGAAAGGGTTAACCTTTTTCAGACACCCGATACCTTAATATCGGGTGTCTGAGAGTCACAGCAAAGCAGACACAAAGAAAAAAAGTGAAAAGTGTAAATAAATTAAAAAAAATAGTGAAAAGTGTAAAAAAATTAAAAATAAGGGACAAATAAATGAATGTATGTATTGCATTTTTTTTTAGCTGTGCTGGTTTTGTTAAAAAAAAATACTACAAATCAATATTTTACGTTTTTTCCTCTTTTTTTAATTTGTATTTGTCCTAAGTGAGGCGTTAGACACACATATGTGATATAAATATATAGCCCTATCTGTCCTCTAAAAAACAATATATAATATGTGTGGGTGCACTTTGTAAGAAAGTATATTACTGACGTGGAAGAATCACACAGCAAAAATGTCAAAAGTGTGTCAGTCATTTACGAACAGAAACTAAAAACAAGCTCAGTCATGAAGGGGTTAAGGGACCCAAATATTGCTTTGTTTTCTACAGTAGTAAATACTAAAAACTCTGTAGCATTGGTTACAGAATGTTTCTTGGACTCTCATTTACCTGTTTGCAACTGACAAATAAATTATATAGCTTAATTCATATGCAGACTGTTGTATCTAAGGTACACTAAATGGTTGAAAGTTTTGGACACACTTGTATAAACTTTTTGGACATCCCAAAACCATGGGTATTAATATGGATTTGACCCCACCCATTGAGACTTGAACAGCCATCATTCTTTTGGGAAGGTTTTCCACAAGATATTAGTTTGTCTGTGGGAATGTGTGTCCATTTAGCCGTAAGCACATTTGTGAGGTCAGGTACTACTGATGGATAATAAGACCTTGCTTGCAATTCCAGTTCCTCCCAAGGTGCCCTGTAGGGTTGAGATCAGGGCCCTTTGTAGTTCCTCAACACCAAACTTGGCAAACCATGTCTTTATGGACCTGGCTTTGTGTACTTTGAGGAATCAAATATTTGTCTAAAATGAATTTGTAATGTATCATTACCAGTACTCTTCACAGGAAACACCTGAATAATTTGAATGAGTATCCACACACTTTCTTCCATATAGTGTATCTAATTACTGATGTGAAATGCTGTTTACCAATTGATAGACAGACTCCATTCAATGCAGGGTTTTATGTTTATGAATGCTCACGTCCTTTTGGCATGGACATTTTTTTCACCTAAAATACCACGATTGAGCATCAGCACAGTTTTCACTTAGTGTTATGCTCCAATCTCAAAAGAGGTCTGGGTTTTTATCTGGCACACACATTTTTTTGTCAGCAATATGTCTGAGGTTATGTTGCTATAGCATAAAGAAGTATTAATATTTCAAAAAGTTTTCCTGTAAGAATTAACAAGAAGGAGACATGAGAGAAAAGAAGACATCATTCCTGGAAAGGGACAGATATTTTTAATGAGTATGTGCTACAATGTGCAGTACAGGAAATGCTGTGTCTTCTGGCCCCTGGTAGATTTTTCTTAGGAATAACTCAGTCGCAACTGTAGCTAAGCTAAAGTGGTTATAGTCATCCTGTCACTGCTGTGTCAAGGCTGGTGGGTGATTCCCTTCTCTCATGTTGAGGACAGGAAAACTAGCCACACCTTCGCCACCTTTCAGGCAATTTCAACCATTCAACTACCTTTCAATTGTAAAAAAACAAATGAATAAGTCAAGGCAACCTACCACTTACATTTTAGATCAGCCTTCCTCAACTAGGGTTTTATGGCACCCTAGGGTTCCTCCAAGGGCTGATAGGGGTTCCTTGATCATAAGCAATTTCTGTCTCTCAGATAAGCTACCACTAACACTAATGGTCTTTTCAGGTATCTGTAATGGGGGCATTCCCCACACTGACCACCTATGTAAAGGAGCATTCTTCCCACTGACAACCAGTATACTATGGCTCTTAACTGACTACCAATGTAATGGGGAACTTCTATAATGAACATTGTCACTTCTTTATTTAAGACCAATGTGAGGAGCAGCACATTTGTTTTTACTATCAGAGCTTTTTTGGCCATTATTATTATTAGTTTCATTATTATTACTGAAAATAATATTGTTGCATAGAACAGCCCTGGGTGTCAAATGCGCAAAGTATGCCTCATTCCTAATTCTTTTTTATTATTCAGTCTACAACTTACTGTTCACTTTAATGTCTCATAAGCTGTAGTTATGATAATTAATAGCAGGGGTTATTTCATGGCATCCTTCTCGTTAAAAAGACAGAGAAAGGCTGGTTTACATCATTCATTTGTTTGGCAAATTTGCAATCAAAAGCTGGATAAAGTGAGTAGCCAGTATTAGTCTGGAATGAAATTGAACTCAATTGAACTCAATTTCATTCCACCCAAAGAAACAAATGTTTAAATGCCTTCCACATAAAACCTAAAGTGGTTATGTTTCTTAAAGTGACACTAAACTCAGGAGTTATATCTTAAAAATGCATTCAAGTACCCTAACTGTTAACAAAAATGTATCTTATTTGTGTATCACTCGGCTGTAGATCCTCAAATCATCTCTGAATTGGTGCTGACACTGTCCTTCCTTCTGGAGGGTGGATACTTTTGTTCCCCATGGTCCCTGTGTGTGTTGAAAAGTAGCCACCGCTCCAATCTTGCTCCTGTGATAGGCTACAATCTCGATACAAACTATTAAACAAAATGTGAGATTGTAGTACATCACAAGAGTGAGATTGGAGCGGTGACTACTTTACACCACACACAGGGGCCTTGGGGAACAAAAGTAGCCACCCTCCAGAAGGAAGGACAGTGTCAGTACGAATCCAGAGATGATTTGAGGATCTACACCGAGTGATACACAAATAAGATACATTTTTGTTAACAGTTAGGGTACTTGAATGCATTTTTAAGATATAACTCCTGAGTTTAGTCACTTTAAACAAACTGGAGAGAAAGTTTTTTTCTATTTTTGGTGATACATTTGATTGTAACTCTTCTCTGTGCAGTTGAACTTCTGATACAGGCAGGGGTGTTTATTAAGAGTGTTAAGACCATCTTTCTATGAGCAAAAGCATTTTTCAAACCTTTTCATTTGCAAAGTACTGGATGCTATAAAATTACTTTTAACTTGTGAGCACCAAATGATCTCCATATCTCAGAAACTTTGTTTGGAACCTAGATTTTGGAAATAAAGCTAAATCTGAAACTTTTACTGTCATTTGTTTTTTTGAAGGCTTTGTCTGTCATATACAAATTTTCCCTTCTCCTTCATGTGAGGGGTCAGTCAAAGTGTAGGGACAATCTTTAAAGTCTATAAATAAATCAGTGTATGTCAGCTAGGCTGGAAGAATGTAAGAAATTATATACAGTATACGTAGGCTTCACGGTTTGTTTCATGCAAACTTCCCTTTGCACTTCATAGAAATTACATTAATAGTCAAATCCCTTCATTTCATAATCAGTTGCCGCATTTCGACTAAAATAACAAATGAACCAAGTCAAAAAAGCTTTCATAACTTGTTTTCCACAGAGATTTAACTGTAAAAAATAGTTTGCATTCAAGAGGGAACATTTCAGCTTAATTATTTACAGTCTTGTTGAAATTACTGTTTTAACACTTGTTTCTTTGTATTCTACCATTAGATACCGTTCCCCCCAATTCTACTGCATTTTTAGAAGTTACTGATCTCAATTTGAAGAAGCTCAAGTATATTCCAGTTCCCAGGTAAGATTAGTCTACACCGAGGTCAATTAATACTGGCAGGGAGAACTAGGTTTGAAAAATGCAAAAAGGGATTCTGTGGGATTGGCTTGTATGGCTAGTTTATTAAAACTGGAGCAAAGAAAACCAAACCATCCCGATTCCACTTCTCATTTTCCAGCGTAGCCTGGAAAGAATCAGCCTGGCTGCTTTTAACTTCAAAGAGACATTTTCCTCTATTTTTTTTATCATTCTTGAAATAGCACCAAGCACTCTTAGTGATATTTAGATGTTATTGTTTCTATTTTTGTAAGCAGATATTGAACCTAATATGTTACAGTCTGGATTAAGTCTACCAGTGAATACATTTTTTTTCAAGCCAAAAATTTGGTTTATCTGCCGAAAGATGTTTGTACTAATGGTCTGTAGGCAAACGTTGGTTCTTTTACTGTTATACTGTACATTATGTTCAAAGACTTTACAGTTCTCTTTCACATATAATACTAATAAAGTGTGTGCTCAAATTGATATTTAATGAATAAACATACTATGAATTTATTGTTCCTGTTTGCATTTTCACAGCCTACAGCTAAACACTTCCAAGTGTTTGCTGGCTTGTTCTGTTAGAAAATCATTATTCAGAGCTGTAATGGATGTGGCTCACCCCTTCCTGCACCTCTTGTCTCCCCGTTGGCTACTGATAGCAATTAGCTGACCTACTAGACAATAGGAAGTGAAAGAGGAAAAACCATGACAGCAATGGTCAATGTTTCTCAAACATGGCATGTTGGTGTGTTCGATTGGCAGGTGTTTTATGTACTTAAAGCGAAACTACAACCTCTATTTGGATTGCAGTTGCCATGGTGCTGCGCATGTGATCAGCTATGACACCAGTCATTTGAGAGCTTCAGAGTATGAAACAAGCTGAAATAAGCACACTGGCAAACTTTACCCTAAAAGTAACTGTTTTGGGAGGCATTAAATTGGTGGGTATAGTTCCTCTTTAATAAAGTCCAGAGTTTTGCCGTTTAAACAGATCAGCCATAACATTATGACCACTGACACGTGAAGAGAATTATATTGATTATCTCCTTACATTAGCGCCTGGAAGTGGATGGAATATATTAGGCAGCAAGTGAACTTTTTGTCCTTGAAGTTGATGTATTGGAAGCAGAAAATAGGGGCAAGCGGAAAGGATTTAAGTAACTTTGACAAGGGCCTACCAAAAGTGGTCTACGGAAGGAAAACTGGTGAACTGGCGACAGAGTCATGGGAGGCCAAGGCTCATTGATGCACAGGGGAGCGAAGCCTGGAAGAAGAGCTACTGTAGCTTAAATTGCTAGAAAAGTTCATGCTGGTTCCGAAAGAAATGTGCTTGAACACACAGTGCATCGCAATTTGTTGTGTATGGGGCTACTGGGAAACCTTAGCTTCTGCCATTCATGTGGATGTTACTTTGACACGTACCACCTACCTATACATTGTTGCTGACTAAGTACACCCTTTCATGGAAACGGTATTCCCTGATGGCAATGGCCTCTTTCAGCAGGATAATGTACACTGCCACACTGCAAAAATGGTTTAAGAATGGTTTGAGCAACACAGCATTGGGTTTAAGATGTTAACTGGGCATCCAAATTCTCCAGATCTCAATCCAATTGAGCATGTGTGGGATGTATTGGAAAAACAAGTCCGATCCATGGAGGTCCCACCTCACAACCTACAGGACTTTAAGGAACTGCTAATGATTGCTTTGTGCCAGATACCACAGCATACTTTCAGATGTTTAGTGTCTTGATGGTTAAGTGATGTTTTGGCAGCAAAAGGACATAGGCACCTACTCAATCTTAGGTGGGTGGTCATAATGTTTTGGCTGATTGGTGTGGCTTCTCCCCTAAATTATAATATAATCAATTTAATACTTGTAATCTTTTCCATGCTGTAATTGGTGTTTCCATTTATTTCCATTTATTGTGTACTCATGAGGCCCAGCTTTCCTAATAATGTTATCTGTCGTATTTCTGGTCTGTACAATATCTATATAAAAGCACTCGCAAATGTTAACATTTTGATCATTGTCATGGGGGAAATGTTGACACAAAACATAAAAGTTGTATCTGTGGGAATGCTCTGCTAAAGTACTGCAATGGGAATTTAATTAGAATAATAGGTATGCACAAACTTTACATTGACACACGATGAGAATTGTTAGAAGACTTCTGTATAGATCATACACTGTTTGAGTAATAAATAGTATGAGATGTTTAGCTTGGCGTACTGCCTTATGATATCACTATCAGAAAGTCGAAATTGAGCTTCAATTATTGTGAAGGCTCAGTGTGTGAAACAGTTATGAACTGAGCTACACAGATGATTATAGTGCTGCTAAAATCTTCATTATTGATTGACCTTTACAGCACACAGATAAACATGGGGCCTGATCTGCTTTCATTTCACATAACCAATCTCTTATTTTTTCCCCACTTTTGATTGTTTACTTTTTCTGGCACTGACCTAAATCTTTATATGAACATGACTGACCCCTGACAGAGACAAGAGTATGTGACAGTGTCCTATAGATGTGCTTCTTCCAGTTCTCACCCTAAAGCCATTGCTTTCTTGTCAGATCTCATTCTGTGTCAGCTAACATGTCATAATGGATAGTGGGAATCATGTACTCTTTCTTACATCTCTTTTATATGACAAGCCAATTAGACAGGAAAATCCTCTTAGGCCAAGTATACAAAAATTATTTAAAAAGAGTTACCTTTCACAATTCAGAATGAAGATGGGATTTACGTTTGTTACTAAGAAGAATCCAGGCAGTGTGTATTTTCATAATTACTGTATGAGAAGTATGCTAAAAAATATTTATTAAACTCCACCAATGATAACATTTTTCTGAAAACATTAATAATGTTCTGGATAGTGGCTATTTCTTTTTGACAATGAGCTCACAGAAGTGCCTGTGCCTTAGCTTTGAACTTTGTTAGAGAATATAAGTTAGACTATGATTGAATCACATCCCTTTCATCTTTCTATTTTACAAACACCACTTGCTGATAGTGAGAGACTAAGACTGTTGAAGTTTAAATCCAGCATAAGCCAATATTGTCCCTGATGCTCCCTGTAGCCCTGTTGGTATAGTTTTTGGGAACTCCTTTTTTTTTAAGAAGGTAGGGTCAGCAAGTGACTTCTTCATCTGCTTTTCTGACTTCTGAGATAATTAATGGTGTTGCTAATGCCCATCTAAGTGTGAAATACTAGTTGCCTTGCCTTTTGCTGAATATATGCTTGATAATACTGCTCTCAACCTCATCTTGTCAACTTAACCCTTTCTTTGCTGTGCATAATTGAAGCTGACCTTTTGCTGAATATATGCTTGGTAATACTGCTCTCAACTTCCTCAAACTTGTATACATTATCAACAAATTGTCACCTACTTTGTTTTGATTAATCAAAGGGACCTCCCTATCTTTATAACACTAACCATCCTGCAGTGTTGTGAAGGTAACTTGCCTGCATCTCATGTGTCTCTGATCAACCTCCAAATAGAATAATTGGCAATTTAACCCCCACCCCATTTCAGTATAAGTTTGGAAACTCCTATGGGGGAAGGCACCGTCAGGGGGTCAAGGCACAGGCAAACATCGCCATCGAAGCACATCGCTATAAAAGCATAACTTCAGCGCACTTTTAAAACGGCACTTTGAAAGAAGGCTCTGAAGAGATATTGCCAAGAAATACACCTCTCAAAGACTGCAAGTAATCACCTTCCTATACCCTCCTGTCCTCCTCCCACTCTGCCTCATCTACCATCTCCCTAAGCATGCTGTCTCTTCCTCTCCTTCTCACGGTAGTGTCCTCCATCTGTAAACTCTCATTCCTTCCCCCCTCTCCTCCCCCCCACTGCATATACATATCACCCTCACTTCTGCCCTCTCCCTATTATTGCACCCATCAACTTCTGCTTATCATAAACCCACATGCTGGCAAAGCCTCCAATACTCTAGAGCAGGTGCACTGCTCTAAATCTAACTATCACCTTACTTCACACACCCTTTTGCTTCTCCTGCTCTCTGGAGACTTTTCACCTAATCCTGGTCCCCCACAATCTAGGTCTATCCAGCACACCAAACACCCCTCTTCCCCTGGCAGCAGCCGCAATCCAACTAATCTCATTCCCATATCTCCACTCCCAAGATCCACTTCCTCCTTTTCATGTGCCCTCTGGAATGCTCGCTAAGTCTGTAACAAGCTCACCTCCATTCATGACCTCTTTATCTCCAACTCCTTTAACCTACTTGCTGTTACTGAAACCTGGCTCCAGGATTCTGACACTACCTCATCAGCTGCCCTTTCCCATGGTGGCCTCTACTGGACTCACTCACCCAGATTCAGTGAACGCAAGGGAGGGGGAGTTGGCTTCCTTCTATCGTCACAAAGCACATTCAAAGTTCTTCCTACACCACCTTCTCTATCACTCTCCTCTTTCGAAGTTCATTGAATACGTCTGTTTTCCCCTGTTTCTCTGAGGATCACTGTGATTTATCGGCCTCCAGGGCCGGTATCACGCTTCCTTGATAACTTCTCTGCCTGGCTACCCTATTTTCTTTCCTCTGAAACACCCACTGTCATTCTCGGTGACTTCAATGTCCATGTCAATATTAGTAACACCACAACCTCTGAGCTACTCAACCTAACTTCATCCTTTGACCTAACACCATGGACTAACTATTCTACTCACTCTGATGGCAACAACCTTGATCTCATATTCTCATACCTCTGCACTCCCTGCAATCTCAACAACACCCATTTTCCACTCTCTGATCACAACCTTGTCAGATTCACACTCTCCCTCTCATCTGCCCCCCAACATCCCAACCAGCAAACCGCCACCCGTAGGAACCTTCACCACTTCAACCCCTCTCTTTACTCTGCTCCTTTATGACAAAGTCAAAATCCTGTCCTGCCCTGACTTTGCCACTTCTCTCTACAATAACTCACTCTCATCCTGTTTGGACACACTTGCCCCTTTCACCTCTCATAAAATCAGGCCCCGTCCTCTACAGCCTTGGCTGACAGATGACACTAGAAAACTCAGAAGACATAGGCCTCCAAGACTCTGCTTTCTCATGGTTCATCTCCTATCTATCTCAGCGCACCTTCAGGGTCACCTACAATTCTACCTCCTCCTCTCCTCTTCTTCTTTCCGTGGGGGTCCCCCAAGGGTCTGTCCTTGGGCACCTTCTATTCTCTATCTACACTTCTTCCCTGGGTCAATTGATAGCCTCCCATGGCTTCCATTACCATCTTTATGCTGATGACACCCAAATCTATCTCTCCACTCCTCAACTCACCCCCTCTGTCTCTTCACGTATCTCAAATCTACTCAGTGACATCTCAGCATGGATGTCACACCACTACCTCAAACTCAATCTGCCAAAAACTGAGCTTATAATTTTTCCTCCTCTCCGTGTTCCCTCCCCATCAAGCCAGGGTACTCGGTGTAATCCTTGACTCTGAGCTCTCCTTTCAGCCCCACATCCAATCACTACCCAAATCTTGCCAACTCAACCTCCGTAACATTTCCAAAATACGCCCCTTTTTAACAAACGAAACCACAAAGCTTCTAATTCACTCCTTTGTAAATCTCTCGTCTCGCCTACTGTAACTCCCTCCTTGTTGGCCTACCACTAAGCAGGCTATCCCCCCTTCAGTCTATCATGAATGCTGCTGCCAGACTCATCCATCTTACCAACCGTTCAGTGTCTGCCGCCCCTCTCTGCCAATCCCTCCACTGGCTCCCACTTGCCCAACGAAAAAAAATTCAAAATACTAACAACAAAATACAAAGCCATCTACAACTCCGCCCCAACCTACATCACTGATCTCATCTCAAAATATCACCCAAACCGTCCTCTCCGTTCCTCTCAAGATCTCCTGCTCTCTAGCTCTCTCATTACCTCCTCCCATGCTCCCCTCCGGGACTTCTCCAGAGTGTCCCCCAT